AATAGAAGCCATTAAGATGGACTGCAGGGAAATCTTCACTTCTCATAAGACAAAAAAACAAAGCCAGGTAACAACACAGGTTCACAAACGAAAAAAGTTCAAACTGGTTGGAGTTTCCTGTGGGTTAAAAACAAGTTGAGAGTCGATGGAAATGTTGCCTCCTGAACACAAACTCACCTTCAGCTGCCGCAACTTGCTCATCAACCCCTCAATCGTGTGGAAAATCTCGTCCACGTTTTTGATCACGTGGCTCTGGTGCCCAGCCTGCGATTGACCCGTTTCTTCTTCCTGTTCCGGTTGCATAGCCTCCGATCGGTTGGGCGCGGGGACAAAGTCGGGCGTTTCCTCCTCCGGCTGCATCTGTGGTGACATCACTTCCACGAGCGACTGAGGGAAGTGGCTGGCGGTGGGGGTCGGGGGGTCGTCGTGGTCATCGGTGATGCTCTCTCCTTGCTCTGTAGGCATTACCAGGTAGAAAGTGTTCCCTAGAGCACAGAAATGTGATAACACAAAGTGTGTCGGTGAGTAACTTCAAGGGTAAAATGAAAGCCAACTCTTATGATTATAAATTATATTTTATATCCATTATCTTGATTAATATTACACATAAATAAAGGAACGTGCTTGTCTCATAAAAACAGCACTTGACCGATTTAGTCATCATTACCCTGCGCGGTGGCCTCGCCTCTCGGCTTGGATGATTGGTCGGAGGGGAGGGCGACATCATCAGTGATGTCGTCAGGGACAGAAGAAGAAGAAGAAGGACCCGCAACCATAGCTATGCAGAGGATAGACGTGTGACAGGGAAAACAGTGTGTGCGGAAGTGTGTCGTACGTGAATGAAAGAGTGAGGGAATGAGTTGATGTTGTCGTGTTGTGAAGAGCAAGCAGACACAAGAAAGAGAGAAGATAAAGTGCGTAAGAAACCAAATAACCAATCACCAAATGCAGAGAAAAACATGCAGAGGAAGGCAGCCATCAGAAACTTGATCAGATTTGATCCAAAAAACAGACAAAAAGCACACAGAGGTGAATTCACTTTCAGTTCAGCCAACACTCAAATATTTATCTCAAAGGAAACAACGGTGAGTCTATGGTTGATAATTGGGATTTATTTTGAAACAAAAGCTTCAAATTTGTATCTGAGAATTGAATGACCTCAGAGTGATCCGCCAGTCGAGCCCCGCTGAAGAATTAAATCTAATTATCTGAAAGCTTTTCTCTATCCGATCCGTTACCTTTTCTCACGACCTGAACGCTAGGCTGCTCGGCGTCTGGGGGCGGAACCTCTTCAGGCTCGGCCTCCCATTCGTCGACGCTGAAGTTGAGGACCGTCTCCAGAGACTCTGGCCGCTGTCTCTCTGTGAACGAGCTCCTTTCGTTGGTCGTCTCGTTAGTGGGCGTGTCATCGGAATCGTGGCTCCAACCGTCCTCTTCTAAATCCCGTAATATGAGCTGCTTTAGTGTTTCAACTGCAGAGGCATGAAAACAACAAAAAGGAAAAAGAAAAAACAGAAATTGGTTTTAAAATGAATTATACATGTTACATTACAGTCATTAGGGTTTGTTTTTCATTCCTTCTCACCGTCTTGTAAAGCGGCCTCTGCCACACCGGCAGCTTTTCTTTCTGATTGGTCCGAAGGTGTGTTGGCTGAGGGCACAATGTCGTCGTTGTTGTTGGAATGAGTCTCCATGGAGTCCGACTGCTCCGTCATGGAATTGTCTGGAAGATTTCAAACATTTGGAGGTGTGACAAAGCCCGAAATATCAAACTCTGTTTAGCTTCACAAATATTTGCGGGCAGTTGAAATATTTAGGTCTGTCGATATAATAATATATATGCGGTTGTTACCTGCAAAGACATTACTGCCAGTTGAGACTGGGGACGCACTGCGTAGACTGGGGGAACTACAGAAAATACAAACACAACAAATGCTAAGCATATGCGAGGTGAAGAAAATAAGCGTATAAGAGAAGAGAACACGCCTAATAGAATAAAACACAACATCTTAAAAGTAAAAGACCGTTTATTATTCATAGAGATAAGATGTTCTTACGACAGACGCATGGATCCGTGATTGATCAGGGGTGATGAACCGTCTGCCGATGAGATGGTCTTTTCTAGTAAATCTTTCCAGCTGCAAAACAAAAATCAACAGTGAACGCAACCTGCAGACATATGGCGAAGAAAAAAATAAGTAACATAGAATGCTTTGTAATCCTGCCTAAGGTAAATACCAGTTGTAGAAAAGAGCTTACTTGTTTTTCTCCGATGACGTCCCAGCCACCAGCTCGTAGATCTGCCTCTCTGTGGTGCTGATGATGTAGAGGGCTTTGTTGTCTGGAGAGAAAACACAAGATTTACACGTGTGACCGCGACCACACAAACAAAAGCAAATCTATTTTAAGATTTGCTTTCCGACGTGTGACCACAGTCTTACCTGTAGCTACTGAGCGGACCAGCAGCGAGTGCAGCTTCACCAGAGGGCTGAAGGAGGTCTTGCTGTCTCCGCTGCCTCCTCCGCCTCCACCCAGCCAGCGGGATGGATATCTGAGCTGCAGCCGGTCGTCTGGGCCCCTCTGTAGAAGGACCAGGCAGTCCGACAGCAGCAACGCTTGAATCTCTGATGGAGGGATACAGAGACGTGATTAAAAAGGGCATGAATCCAAACTTATGAGACCGTATGTGTCCATACAAAAAGTACTGACCTATCTGCTTGTCTTTGTTGACTTTCCACGTGAGAGGACCTTCATGGATCATTCTCTTAGTGGATAAGTCCAGACTCTGTGAGAGACAAGAGTTAAAAAAAACAAACAAAAAAAACACATTTAGGTATAAAAGAAGGAAAGCTTTTATGACACATGGTTGGTATCCTTCATTGCAATATGAATAACGTGAATAAAGGAGGAAGGTTAACCAGCATGAACTATTTGGCCACCTTGAATTGTGGGGCAGCGTCCAGCCTGCGTTGGTATTGGCTGAGGCGTTGCCGGTGTTCCGTTTCCCTCACATCCTCGTTGACAGCCTGCAGTATCCCTCTGCAACACGCCTGGGCGCGCTGAAGTGAGGGGAGGTCCGACGAACCCGCTAAACAACAAAACGAGAATTAAAAATCCGGTACTTTTTTTAGTACATGTTATCGTGTGTTGATGGTACCCGATGCACCTGTTGAATCCTCACCCTCTGTGTGTTTAATGATGTTGTCCAGCAGCAGAGGGTACTTGGTGAGTCTCTGCATCTCCGACACCAGCAGGTCTTTGAGCTGCAGCCTCCGACAGTGGGGACTCGCCTCACACTCCTGAACAAATGTCAAACACATAAGCACATAAAGCACAAAGCTACAACTATTTATACAGCTGTATAATATACAGAGCGTGTGTGTGCGTGTGTGTGTACCTGGATGATGTGTGCAAAGCGAGGGTCTTTACGTTGTTTGTTCTTGATCAGCTCCAGGGCCTGAGATTGCTGGCTGCACAGCTGGGACGCCTGTTCCTGGAACTCATCTCCAGCTGCATCTTCAAACTACGAACACACACCACAGTTAACGCACCCAATTATATATTCATGAACACCTGGGATGAAAGTGAGACGATGCAAACTGAGTGACAATGATGGCGGTGATTAGTTCACACACCCTGGCCAGCATAACGTCGCCGATGTCCTGAACGATGGGGGTTTCTCTTCGCTTCTTCATCGCCTCGCACAGACTTGCTGCAAAGAAGAGTGACACTCATCATCAGTTTATTTCAAATACTACCAATAAGATAATCCATATATAGTACAAAACAAAACTATTTGCAGTCATAGCATGGTAATTATTTCACACCGTATACTTCCATGTTCTTCTGTGCTCTAAATTAAAGCGCAGAATACATATTGACTTAGTAAAGATGCAAGCAGATACAAAATTGAATAGTTACGACCTTTGCTTAGTATTTGCTTCACTTATTATTATTTACCTAGCAATATACAGGCCTGAATACATGTTGACTCAAAGTACAGCTCACTTTATTGTGCAAACAGAAGAAGCAGAAAACAGTGACATCAAAGTTCCTTAATTTTCCATATTTAAACTCTCACTCTTCTTAAAGTTAAATTCCTTCATTTTAAAATATCTAAAAATAGTCTTTGCAATATGATCACATTCATCCATAGCCCCAAAATAATTCTTCACATAAGAAAATATGCAGCTATACTTGTAATTACAGTAAATACACAAACTGTGTGTACACTCAAAAGTGTGCAAGACGAATGTGAGCCTTTCTAGGCCAGCACATAATAACCCTGACACACACACACACACACACACACACACACACACTGACCGTGGAGTTCGTAGACCTGGGGCAGGTTGGGGAAGATGCAGGCGAGCTCATCAGAGTTCAGCACAGACCTCATCTTCTGGAAAAAGACCTGGTCCAAGACCCTCAAGGTCCGCAGGTGAGACGCCTCAGTGGTGAACAGCTCTGAAGAAAGTAGCAAACAGATAATCAACATCAATGCACCCCCATCTTACTATTAGACACTATCAGACTGTGGAGTATGAAGTAGTTCTTGACTTGTACCGTATATGACCGCCTGTCTGTCCACCTCCCTCGGACTGAGCGTGGCGAGGAGCTGAGGAGGAACTGTGTCCTGCCAGTTCTGACTGTCGTACACGTCTTCCTCCAGCGCCGCAGCGTCTGGCAGCAACGCCAACGGTGAGTCTACACTCCTGCGGAGTCACACACACGGACACATAAACACAGGTAAGGGAGACTGACATGCACATTAGAGACAAACAGAGAATGTCTTATACCAGCATAGCTATTGTAAAAATAAAACTCCTTTGTGTTCACGTAACATTACGGGGAGAAGCTGACAGTTCTTTCTTGTGAACCAAACCGTTTCATCATCAAGAGTAGTGTAACAGCTGATCAATCATCTATGGGGGTGACACGGACACTCACCTGCGTCTAGACCGAGGGGTGTATGGGGGTGTAGGGTTCTCTAGAGACCTGAGGTTGAGAGAGAGTGGAGAGAGAGAGGGTATGAGGCGAAAACCTACACTTCCAGGGGTAACATCTGGGGTAAGCTCTTATTAAAAGGGGAGAGTTTTGAAGGATGCAATGTCTGTATTAATTATCTTCTTTAAGGAAATTTGAGATGATTCTGTTTCCAAAACACCCTCATCTTTACCGCGCAGAGCTGCTGGATGCAGATGACGACGCGCTGTGCTGCAACGGCCTGAGGCCCGGCCCCTCCCTCTCCTCCCCGCAGTCCTCCATGTCCACGTCGCTGCGAGAGCGAGGGACAGACTCCGTCCCTGAGACGACGCCCCGCCGACGCCCCTCTCCCTGAGCCTTCAGTGACTCGCTACGTGCCAGACGCACTGAGACCGTAGGGCTGCAAAAGAGAAAAAAAACACACTTTTTTATGAAGCCATTAAGGATGTTACACTTCAAAAGAGCTTCTATGAGCTCATACTGAATATAAACTCAAGGTGGACGTCAGAGCTACCTGTCCATGCCGTCTTCTCCCAGGCTGCTGGAGGAGAGCCTTTGGGGGTCAGCAGCGTCACCCCCCTCCTCTCCCGTCGTCTCCGTGTGATTCTCAAACTGCTGAATGATGTTCCTCACACTGCCGGGACGGACTGCACACACAGACATTACTTAATTGTACAGTGTGATTAAATAGCACACATGCTATCAGCAGATAGTTGATATGTATAAAATGAGGTGGAAATCTTATGTGCAATCACTAAGTTGGTAATGTTTGGTGGAAAGCAAATTTTAACTAAAGAGTGAAAACAAAGAAGTGCAGTGACAAAAAAATATATACCTTCGGTGGGTGACAACGGGACATGGAATGCTATAAAATCAAAATGAACCAAAAAGAAACCATGAAATCAGGACAACAAGACACAATGAAAATTCCATAAATCAATAAACAAACCTGCAAAAACAATAAAATGGCAAACAGAGGGCAGAAGGGAATCAATATCGTCTGACGAACACAGTGAGTGAGAGCATCACACGTGTTGGCGTGCCTTTCATGTAGTGTGCCAGTGAACCAATACTGTCAGCTGATAATGACTTTTCACAGATGGATTTTACATTCTAAATACTGATAATGTTCTCATGAGACCCAGAACAACAAACTATTTTTGTAAACCTCATGTTACTGCATGTGTGTATTAGCATTTTGGCATTCTGACAATGAATATGGTTATAATAATGATTTATAGAGCAAATCTGAAATGTGTGTGTGTGTGTGTGTGTGTATTTATTTACTGGACTGGGATGTGTTCCTGGGTTTGCCGATGTACTTCAGGATGGGATTTCTCTTTTTATCCTCTCCATCTTTCTCTTTCTTTGTGCCACTCAGCTGTGGAGAGAGGAGCCATGTTTAAATCGCACCATTTTAGCTTCCACTTGAACGTAGAAACACACAAATCTTTTGATTTAAGCATTTCTGAATGTGAAAATACACGTATGATCCATTTCCATTTCAGAAACAGCAAAGCTGCTGTGGAAAACACATTGAAAAGAGAAGTCAGACGGGGTGGCAAGTCTTCTACAGGTGAGCTCTAGATGTGTAAATAATACCTCAGTGATGTACAAAGTGGCACCTCTAAGCTCACACCTCGTATTCGTATATCAGGAAAGGACCAGACCACACAGATGAGCTAACAGAGCTTTACAACACTGCTAAAAATAATAATAATGCGCTTTTTTTTTGCTGATAGTGTAAAACACACATGATACTGCAGAAAGCTTTTTGTTCTTGTATGTTCAAAAAAGAAAACCTATTTGAAAAAGTAACAAGATGCCCATGTTTACATTTGCAGGTACATTTACATTATTTACTACATTTGCAAAATCTTTTCCTTCTGTAGAAAAAAAAAAACGACTTTTCGGAAGAGCTCTTACCTTTTTCGTCTTTAAGAAAGCGAGCCACTTCTCCTTCTCTGTGCTCAAACCAGGGAAGACCTTGGAGTCTCTTAGCTTGATACCAGAATGACGCAGGTACAGGAGCACTGCCGACGCCAGAGGAGAACTGAGGGAGAGGAGAGAGGGGGCGGAGGGAGAGAGCGAGAGCGAGCGAGCGAGAGAGAGAGAGAAAGAAATAAGACAAACATGGTGGAGGGAAACGTGAGGAGAATAGACCACGAGGGGAAACAAACAAAGAGAAGGTGTGAGCAAGAAATGAGCCAATCTCTCAGACAGGTGTTGCTTTTAAATGATATTCCCCTCCGACAGACGAGACACGTCTTTTACCTTCTGTCCTCTTCGTGCTTTGATCTGCAGCGGGAACAAACAGAGAGACATAAAAAGGCGGTTAATTCCCTCCACGAGAAATAACAGCCTTTTAAAGAGATATCCAGTTTAATTCCTCAGAGTTATATCCAGTTAATTCAGCCGCAAACGATGTAAGAAACAGACTGTGGTGCGGCAGTCATGTGACGGGAATCGGCCCGTGTGTGTGTGGTCAAAGAAATAAATGTCATGTGGTTTCCAGGTTTTGCCGCTGTGGTAATGACCTTTGTTATGATAGCTTGGGTGAGCTCCTTCTGTCGCTTTGTAATAACAATTTTATTGGGCCTCAAACATCTGACCCTGTTGCTAGGCAAACCTGCCTCAACAGTCTGTTTGTGTGTGTGTGTGTGTTAATATTCGCTTTAGGATTAGAGTGTTAATGTTAAAATTATAATTTTGGTTGATATTTTGGCATAAGAGTAAAAATGTGTGAATATGTTCAGATGTAAAACAAGCTGATCATCCCTGGTTTGACATCAACTTGTCCAGAAAACGAACCCGTGCCCTCGCCACGAACCTAAAACTACAATTTTACAGTTTTTTTTTTGCACAGGAAAAACATGACGCAGCAGTACTTGGGTTAGTCACAGACTCACAGTATTTCCCAGAGGGCAGTGACCTGTCTGTCAACCACTTGTCTCTCTTTCATCGGGTCTCCATCCAGCTGCTGCAGGTCTCCTTCTCCAAACAGAGAGCCAAGACCCATCATCTGCTTGTTCCTATGAAACACAAGTTTAACAGGTTATTATGAACATTTGAATATGGTAATTGTGTCACAGCTGACCTTTATGGTCATTATTCTGCCTCAGAACGGGGACACAAGCCCTAATTTTCACTGAATAACCCCCTAGTATTAATGTTTATCAATGTTAGAAACAAAATCAATCTTCAGTAATATACCTGTAGTCCTGTATCTGGTCCTGGATGTCCGGCAGCACCTGCTGCTGCAGCTCAGACAGAGGTCCCCTGATGTCCTCCTGAGCATGAAGTCGACTTTCTGAAGGGGCGATGGACACAACACAATGTCAGTGGGTACACTTCAGCACAAGCTAACATAATCATTACAGCCATGTGGCTCAACCTTTGAATCAAAATCAGTCACAAATCAAATTCCTAGTTTTCTTTTTATGTCTCACGTGAAAGAGAACCTTACAAATCATCAAAATGGAGGCACAAATATCAATATGAAAATTCAAAACTGAACAACTAAACAAGCTTTTAGTTGTCTTACCTATATCTGTGAGGTACTCCTCTCGTACTTTGATTTTCAGGGGCTACAAGGGAAAAAAAGAAAACACACGCCATATCACTTTTAAGTAAGGATTACAGTATTAACATACTGCACATTAGCAGCCAATACTGGGATATAACAGATAAAGATATACAAGTTTAAATCATTAAGGCAGGACGGTACATACAGCATCTGGGTCCAGGAAATGGGAGCAGATCTGAGGTGCAAGTGCGCGGGCGTCTTTAGGACTGGAGCCCAGGTAGGCCTCCACTGACAGGTAAAACAGCTGATGTAGACACACGTAACCATCAATGTCAGAAAGCAAGCGCAGATATACAAACTGCAATGTCTTCCAAAAGCACCAGAATACATTTTAAAGGTTACATATGAGATTTAGAACATTACAACAAAGCTAACAAAGTACAACGCAGACTGACCAGAGGGTTGGGGTCCAGAAGCTGGGTAAAGACGTATCTCATGAACACGGCCATGTGTGCCGGTCGTGACTTCAACAACTCAAGGTCCTGGAACGGACCGTCCATCTGAGAGAAAGATTGGAGAAAATTTTGGAGAACACTTAAGTATAGACGGAGGAAACAGAAAGATTCAGTGTTGGAAAAGGAGCAAAGTATTGAGGCTGTAAAACAAAGACTCTGCTGGATACACATGAAAATGTCCTTCTCACCTCGTTAAATGCATAGCCGTCATCCTCTTCATCCTCTTCCTCTGGGCCGATGATCTGGGCCTTTCCGCCCTTTGAACACAAATGCACACACACAGATTTAAAAAAAAAAAAACAGAAAACTCTTAGTCACACACTGGAGGACAGCAGGTCCAAGCACGTCTGCTCTTTTCATTCATGTACTGTACGTGCGGCGCTCATAGCAGAAGAGTCGTGATGGCGTGAAATCTGAATCATAGGCCGTGGTCATAAATCGTCTTCTCTGTACCGCTGCTTCGTCTCACACATTTAAAACAGCTATCTTTAAACACACGGCGGTGCATGACAGAAATGGAGAGGAACGGATGAAGAGGAAATAGCCGAGCTACATGTCAAAGTAGGAAATAAATTAACACCAGGAGTATGCAGCTGGTGGTGCAGGCCTCGTATTTGCACAAACTAAACATGGTTTAGTCAACATGTTGTATCATAACTGACTGTCGTACTAGAAAATTGACTACACATATTTTCTTTTTACCTTACTTAAGTCATTAATTATTAAGTGCACTGTTGGATTTGGTCAGCTAAGCATGTGATAATGCGTCTTTACACCGCGTGTGACGAATCTCAAAGTGAATGCGAGTGCGTGTGTCCATCTCACCGAATCAGACAGGGTGTGTGTGTCGGAGTTCTGCCGTCGGTGTTGGGGGGTCCTGAAGGAGGATGAGGGGGAGGAGTGGGGACTCTCAAAGGCCTGGGGAAGGAGGAGGAGGAGGAGGAGGAGCGGGAGGAGTGAGGGAGGAGTGAGGGAGGGAGGGAGGACGAGGGGGACGGGATGAGTGGGACCATCTTATACACAAACACACATACAATCTCACCAGTTCGGGAGAAGACAGGACACTGCGGCCTACCTCCATGTCTCCTTCGCTTGAGTCCATCGATAGTCGACCTGCCAAAGCACAGAGCAGTCGTACACTTATAAAGCCGCTTAAACTATGACAGGTGGTTTACATTTGAGTGCATATGCTATTTTTACCATATAAAATACAATTTAAGCTAGCACTGTAAGAAGGATACTGACGTGTGGCACCATAAATTATTATTTGACTTGAATTTCTGTGTATTTTTGGCTTATATATAGACTAATTAAATCAGGAACTGTGCATGCTTAACATCAGATCCAATCCAATCCCCGTAGCACTGAGAAATTTAATTAGAAGATAAACAGATACAAACCTTCTCCTGCAATGACGTAGCTCGTGGCAGACTCTGACCGCGTTCCTTCCTGTAGAAGCAGATTAAAGCATCAGTTATTTTTCAGCACTGGTAAGTAAAGGTAAATTATTATCATGCACGCTGGCTTAATTGTGTTTTGCGGCCAAAAGCAACTAGTAGAACAGGCTGTAAACACTGACTTTGAATTTAAAACTGAAACTGAATTAAATGTATCCAATCACGTGACTTGAGAGGTGAATTTGAATATGTGAACATGTGGCCTGGTGGGTGATATAATGCTCCTAAACATTTGCAAATCAAATTTCCTATGCTTGTAAAACAAAAAGCTAAATAGAAAGAGGGTTTTTTTTTTTAGTGAGAATAGAAAGCCTGTAAAAAGTCAGTCACAGGCCTGTCTCTTACCAGATCTTGCTGAATCTTCACCCTGACTTGGTGGGCTCTCCTCTTGGCACTTTCAATCCGCTCCTCCAATGACGGCGACGGGTTCTTCAGATGCTCCTCCAGCAAGTCCTGTAAATTAGTCAGGTCTGGTTATCAACAGCAGATTTTAGCTGCAAAAACAAACTTGTAACTCCTCATACAGGTAGCATGATGCAATAAGAGATCTCTGCGTCTACAAGAAGATGCAGTCAGGGATCAGAAATGCACCTTAGAGCATTTAGTAAAACACCGGGATGGCTTATTTGTTTGTGAGTGTGTGTACCTGTAGTTCGGCCTCTTCCTGCTCCAGCATTTTCCTGAGTATCTGAGTGGCATGTTTATGTAATTCTGGGTCCTAAAAAACACATTTACAACAGAAATAATAAACCATTTAATGATGCCAAAGCAATTAACTATTAATTATATTAATATTTACCTACACATTGTCCATGTGTAGCTGAGCATTTGTTTTGCTCGTCGTCCACGAGGCAATAGTAATAATATAATTGAATATAACTATGTAATTTAATTCACCTGTAGTGGTTTAGGTCCAGTGATTCTTTGGGAAGGGGTGCTGCTCAGTCCAGAGGGCAAGGGTGGAGGTGGAGGGGGTGGGGCCTCCCCACCCAGAGACTTTCTGTGACCCTGTGCGTGGTCAGTGGAGAGAGGCTCTAAGGGCAAGGAGGCAGTGCAAGGGGGTGGTCCTTGTAGTGTCAGGGCTACATACGGTCCAGCTGTGGGAAGATAAAATGTAGGGATAGAATCGGATAAACACGGGAAAAAGAACTGAAACACAGCAAACACATGACACAAAAAACAGCCATCTTACAGCAAAGACACGGAAACAATCCAGCTTATTTCAAACTCACATTTGATGAGCTTTACCACCTCCTGATGGGACATGGAGGACACCAGCGACCCGTTCACCTGAGGGGGGGGGGACAGATGGAAAAGAGGAAGTTCAACAACACAAAAAACAGACAGGAAGAACTGTTAAATTCAGTGTCCGTGGTGGAAAGTAGTAAAAACCTTTATGATTCTGTCCCCTTCTTGGACCCCGGCCTTGACTGCTGCACCACCTGTGAAGACGAGTACAGACATAAGGACGGGTTTTAACTCAAATGTCATCTGCGCTACTACAAACAACTTATTTATCACTTTTTGATCGCCAAAATAAGCTGCTGCCGTAGTTTGTGATTTGATAGAGCACCTTTAAAATCATAAATCAACAATTATGCGTTTATAAATTGTAAACTGTATCACAAGTTTTTGTCATTTCTTTCATGGCAGAATAACCTCAACACATAAGCTGGGCACATGTCTCACCTGGTCGGACATTCTGCACTAGCTTGACTCTCTCTCCACACACTGTGAAGCCAAACCCGAGCTGGTCCTTCTGCACGACCACACACCTCTGGACAAGACCGGGACCTGGGAGAGGAGGGCAGACGGATTTAAAAAAAGGTGTTTTAGTGGGAGATATTAAATGATGATAAAAGGAACCAGTGTGGGAAGTTTCAATTACCCGTACTCTCGACAGGGATGTCAGCCGTTGGCTCCCTCTGCTGGGTGGCAGAGGATTTGCGCTCCGAGTCCCCGATGGTCAGACTGCTGAGCCTGGGTTTGAGAGATGAGAGAAAGAGAGGTTTAGCGTGAAACAACACTAAACCAGGAGATTTAGAAAAACACTGGGAGGGCTGGTTGGACTGGGAGAAGAGAGATCTGAAGGGGATTAATGAAAAGAGGAAGAATTCATTGAATTGAATTCATTGGAACAGGCCAAAGGGAAAGTGGGGAGGTTTCCAGTTAGAGACAGAGCAACATGAGTGGAGAGAGGGAGGTCAGAGGCAGAAGAGTCGAGGGAGGCGCACGCTCAGATAATGGGGGATAGAGGGGGTGAGAATATGACAAAAAAATGCACGAGAGGCAACACGAAAGCGGTCGACAGGAAAACTCACCAAGCGGCAAAGGGGCTGAAAGCGAAGCGTGACAGAAAAGAAGGAAGGAGGAGATAAAAAGGGGGAAAAAGGGGGGGACAGAGAAAAGCAGAAATTCAGAATGAAGCCAAATATTGAAGTAAAAGCACACAGAGAAACGGACCGAGAGTTCAAATCATCCCCACGCCCTTTATACTCTACAGATTGTAAAACACTGAGAGCAGCTTGACTTGCAAGAATGTATTTATTTAAGGGTGTGTGACGCAAGGGCACGCTGTGTAAACACTGAAGTGATTTGGTCCAATGACCGCTCGGCTTATAGGGACAATTCACCAAAGCCAAAGTCAAACCGTCCAGACAGATTTGTTGTGATTTACTGAGATCTGGAGGTATTGAGCTAGAACATAAGTATTTAAACAATAAGTCAATGAATGTACTAATACTGTGAGTATTGTCAAGGGAAAAAACACCAAACTTTCACCGCTTCCAGCTTTTGTAATCAGAATCACAGAAATTACTTTTGTTACATACTCCAGCACATATAACATATTAAGTACTTAAATGTAGAGTTTAAAATGTGCAAAAAGTGCAAATGTGAGCATTTATGCTTTTGGGGTTTGGACTCTTTGGTCAGACACAAGCAATATGAAGCCTTCACATTAGATTCTGGGAAACTAACATTCATTTATTCTGTATTTGTTGTTGGACAGTGCACACTAATAACGTTTCATGTAAATGTGCAAAAGTTAACTAAAATGCTATTTCTATTTCCAAACGAATATAATGAACCAACAATAGAGGAATTAACTGCCTTGTCAAATCTCAATATCAAACCAAATCTATCTGAATGGATTGATTTACTCTGAGTAAGAGCAGACGACTAAGTTTAGATGCGGTTTTCGCACTTGTACGCCTCAGCTTAGCCCAGGTAGGCGGAGTCAGTGCTAAGCGCTCGTTTGTTAACTCCACCTACGCCGCCGCTTCAAGCCCCAGTGCCTTTTGAAATGTTATGCCGCAGCTGTTACAATCTGTAGGTGTCATTAACCCCAAACCCTGACATAAGCTCTCACCTGAACAGGTGGGCGTTTTTCTTATTGGCTGCCCTGCTGTCACATGACACAAACACACACACACACACACACACACACACAGACACAATAGTGGGCACGTGCACAAGAACACACACACACACAGGGGGGGAAAGAAGTTGACAGCAGCAGAGACAGGAGAGACATGTGATCAAGACAGAGCTGAACAGATGACCACAGAAACACAGTGTGGGGCTTACATGGTGAATGTGGTGACGGCTGACGGTAACAAACAGGATGAACTACGGTACATTGAGTTTTAGCAGCGGCAGAGCTACGCACAGCATGGACAACACGAGATCCGAGCAACAAACAGACACCGAAACTCACTGAGCAACAGGGACGGGGATGTTTTCGAATATCTCGACTGAATAAAAAAAGAAAGTAGAAACTGTTTTTCAAGCTCGTGCTGAAAGGCAATGTGAGACGTGACTGAGAGTAAAGCTAATCGGTCGGGGCGGAGGTCAGTTTCTGAGTGTGTGCTTCTTTCATTCAAAAAAGATTCACTGCATTTGTTTGGAAGCATATTTCAGGCCTCTGTGTGTGTGAGAATAATGAAATGAAAGTGAAGTTTTCTGACAGTCATCACAAGTTAACTGGGGGGTTTCTGTAAAAAGAGAAGTCGTGTGTTCTGAGGGGTTTCGTAAAGCTCTGCAGCGTGAGTTCTGTCAGCTGGTTTTGTTCGTCCGTACATCGTCCGGGTGCTGCACTGTGCTCTTCTTTTGCTCTCTTTTTGTTCCGCCAACAAACTTTAGTAACAACGTACAAAAAAATAGATTCATTTGTGCATTTTAGAATCACGCAGGGGTAAGAATCGATCAACCCTCGATTTCTTATAAACAAACATAACTGCAAAATCTTTCCACGGCTGTTTTGAGTAATACCTTCCAGACTACTATTGAAACGCATACAGTATTTATCTCTTTCCTTGTTGCAGGGGGCAGTTTTATCACCTCCCAGTCAACAGCCTGTCAGACAAGTATTTCCAGTGGCTAGTCTAGACCTCAGCCAGATAAAGACATGTGGATTGGTTGATCTGGGCGTACTACAGGGGTTTCGAAAGGTGTTAAGCTGTACCCTCACCCGCTGAAATATAAACCGTCTGGGTGCAGCGGACGCGAGGGGTCGTACCTGTCCAACGTGGAGGTTGGCTGGCGGAGACTCATGTCTGCAGCCTTGTGACACTCCTCTGCTTCCTGGTGCGGGATCAACACTGTCACTGGGCCTCTTTTATCATCATCCCCATCGTCTCTTTCCTCGTCGGGTTTTTCAGTCCACACAATGGGGGCTCTATGTTGTGCTTTTGATCAGATCTTCAAGCTACTGGGAGGCTTGTTCAGATCAGACAGAGTGCTCCTCATGTTCCCATCCAACCCCAGTGGTTCCAGTCAGGTGCCAGTGGGACTCCTCAGTATCTCTCCCCTTTAATAGATTTACATTAGTGGTTAAAAAGATACACTAAAACACAGGCTGAGGGTAGCTTGGTGTAGTGGAAAACAGATAAAAGGGGGACAGTCTGCTTCCTCAAAGGTCATCAATCATGAATGAATGGCTGATGTGTCTCTGTGCTGCAGGAGGTCAACAGCTCCCATGCCCGTGTAGTGTCTGTGCAAGGGCTAATTCCTGGAAGATCATTTAGTGTAACTACAGTCGGGCTTGTTTACATGCGTGGCTTTAAGGACAGCTGTGCCAACCTAAATGGTCCCATAAAAAAAAACGAAAAAAAAAAAACTACGCACTAACTTAAACGTCGCTGCTTTCTCACTCACACGCATTGCATAGGTTGTTAAACTCTTCACACAAATGGCCCAATGTCATTTTAATAGCGGTGTTATCTGCACTGGGTGTGTACGTGGCTTGATGCGCAATATAACGTACCTCAGGTTAACGAAGGGGGCAAATAAAAGCCCAATTACCCCACCAGTCCAACACGCTTGCAGGCTAACTGTAAGTGGCAGAAAATGGAAATGCTAACACTGTAAACAAGTCGCTACCGTCGGCTAATGAACTGGCTAATTAGCAGATTACCCGGCGTTAGCTCTTACTTTTTGCAGTTATCTCATGAAAATAAAATAACTCCGTGCAGAATGAAGAGTTAAAGCTGCTTCTCGACTTTGAGTTGTGACTTGTCTAACAAACCGGCCATGGGAATGATAACCACCATCTGAAGCGGCCCTGCTGTGTCCAGCTAGCGTTAGCTTCCCGAAGGCCCGATTTCAAGCCGCGGCATCGCGTTGGTCCTCAGGCCGAGCGAAAGCGCCGTGGGTTCGGCTATCAGCTGCGCCAACGAGTCGGTCCTTTAGAGGTGGCTAGCTAACCTGCTTGTGTTTGCAAGGTGAAACGCCAACATTACTTTTTTTTGTAACTGCGTGCGATTAGATGGGTGTTAAAGGGGTCGAGATAGTAGCAGCCCATGTAAATTACAGCCCGTATTTTTCCCCGTTTTCGTGCAAATTCAAACACTAAAGCTGCATGTTAGCCAGCTCGCTAGAAGGCAATACGATCCCAGTAAAGCTCCACCTCAGGTCCCTTAAAAACAAGCCACAGTGGTAAAATCCGGATTTGCTTTTCCCTCTCGTGGTTTGCCAGGAGACTCGGACGTTAATCACGACCGTTGCATGTCTTTATTGCCTTCTTTAAAATCCCCAGTTCTTGAAATAATGATCTCTGCTGTGTTGTTGTCCTGCTGTCTTGACTGGCTGCTGATCCACCACCATGTTCTCAAAGATCAGACGCGCAAACACGGTGCAACAGCGCCCTCGCCCGGTCGGACCGCGGCGGTGCAGGTAGTGTGGTGTTACCGACTACAAGGGTCAGTGGAGGCTGCAGTGAACTGGCAAAGTCATGCACTTAAAAGTAGGGACATTATACAAAATATAAACAACAAGAGTGAAAGATAATGTTGTTAAATTGTTTATAAAAGAGAGATAATGTAGGTTTTATGAAGAGGTCATGTGTTTACCATATATGGAAGTTATGGCAGATTATACAAGGATTAATACCCTAGTAAACATGTTTATGTTTTGCACCAGTCACTGTTAAAAGTTAATATTGTTTATGCACTCTTTTATTTTATGTTTGGTCATATTGCTGTTAGACAATTGATTGCTTGTATTATATGCCTTTAAATACTTCTTTCCCATTCATTTAACAACAACAAACATGGCGTATGGAGCCAGTACCCCGATATCTTCCTTCTGGACTCACTGTTTTTCATCAAAAAGTCTCCAGAGAGCAGAAAGTAATGCAACCACAAAGTCACTGATTACAATACATTGACTGACAGTAGGTTTTTGTAACTTTGTAGCCAGTTTGGACTGAAAAAGTGCTGCAGTTTAAATCACAAAAATGCAAATGTTCATAGTGATCCACCAATGAATGATCTACTTAGCCCACTATATAATTCTTATTACAACAGTGCATTATTTTTAATGTGATGAATCTAAGTTGTTTAAAATTGCTGTTTGCTGCCAAACTTCCTGCATGCTTAAAGCTGCAGTAGGTAACTTTTTTATAAAAAATACTTTTTGTCATATCTGCTAAAACTTTTACTATATTCGAACAATAGTACCTGAGACAGATGGTCCTTAAAAATAATGGCTACCTCTGACACATCCTAGAGGTCCTAATGGCATTGCCTGAATGAAAACAACCAATCAAACCAAGCTGTCAATGATCCCAGCAGTGGAAGGTTGCTGAGTCTCATTCTCAGGTCGTCAAATACTAAGGCTTTGGGTCCCAAAGCTTCAAGTCACAAAACCCAAAGCATCAGTATAACTACCTGGGAATGAGACTCATCAACCCGCTATCTTCCTCTGCTCTGATTGGTTGTGGATTCCTGCAAATGCCATCAGAAGCACAAGGAGGAGCCAGATTTTTTCCACACATTATCTGTCTCATGTACTACTGTCAGGATACAGTGAAAGTTAAAGCAAATGTGACAAAAAGTTATTTTTTATAAAAGTTACCCACTGCAGCTTTAAGGAAAAGGATTTTTTACTGCTGTTAATTCACAACTACACCAAATAAAAAATAAAAAATCAGTAGCCTACACTAATAACAAGCAAGGTAGTATTACAGTGGGGAAAGTGGGTACACCAAAAAAAAAAACTGTTCACCAGAAAAGTCCTTCCTATTTACAGTGAGTATGGTGGGAGTATGACACAGAGGCGCATGTATTTCTTTTTCCTGACGCAACAATATGAAACACTTGAGAAGAGGAATTGCGATGACCTTACGGAGGCTCAGAGACTTTCAACTCATTACCAAATATGGCCTGTGCGGGGCGTGGGATACGCTGTGCTGTGGGGGTGCTGTGGAGGAGGAAAGAAGGGGGATGCGCCGCAGAAGTACGCACGGTGTTCCGGGGACTTTAAGCCTTCTAACAAAAAAAAAAACCCACCAAAGACAACTCCTAAGCCTAAAAAATAGGTAAGGTCAATCTTGAGACTTGTGTTGAGAATTGATGTATTATGAAGTTAGCAGCTGGCGTTCATCACATCACAGTCTATTTCTGGAACAATGAGTTTGAGCCGATATGGCACAGGGCTGGGGCGCGGTATGTCCGCTATTCGGGACGGAAAGAAATCTTACCCATCCCTTAAATAATATGCCACTTATATGTATTAATGTATCTATTGGGCAGACTATCTCAAAAAGTGACTTCATCTCCTGGTTTCATTGCAATGCTGGTGTGTCTGCTTTGCATCCTGATTCTCTTTTTAAATGAGGAAATAACAGGATGTCACAGCATGTCTTAATATGTCATGTTAGTTTTAAGAAGCTTTCTCTGTTCCAGTGTAAGTGAGTGAACTGTAAGCTCTCAGCCGCATTCAGTGATATACAGTAGCACCCAGGTTTGTTTAGATTAAAAACCAACTCTCAGGCATGCACGGTATGCGCACTAGCACACTACAGAAGCAAAACCAAAGTCTGGTTTCCTGTCAGAGTAAGGGTAAGAGGCCACACACACACACCGCAACCACACCTTTCTCACTAAGCTCAGATATTAACTGACATCTCTCTTAGAAATGAAACAGGGTGACCAAGCATGGACCGACACCCACTTGCAGCAGAATCTTAAAATATAACGGATTAAAGCTTGTGTTGGACTATAATCAACTGAGATCTCAGCTGAGGGGCTGCATTTCTAACTCCAGGTTTGATTCCTGTTATGTCTGACAAAACGATCAAGTGCACATTTGGGTTTGTGTTGCTGTAGTGTGGGTTCCTGTCAACGTGCCATTAGCTCTACAGAGCTGCTTCCTGTAACTGAGTCTCATTATACAGAACAGGAAGCGTGGCATTGGAGTTAATGGCTAAAAGACTAATTGAGTTTGCAGGTTTCATGATAGATGCAGCGTCTCCGGGCCTGTACAGTAGCAGCAAATCACGGCCTTTAGAAACACAGCGTCTGCATCTACAGCACAGCAGAGTATTATCAGTTTGCTCTGTCAAACAACAGAAATGTGATTTAAAAGTGGCTCAGTTCTGCATGTTGTCTGCTCCTTTTTTCCCATGCAGTGTTTTTTTTTGTGTGGAATTTTTCTTTTTGGCCAGACAGAGTCTCACCATTAAACAGCATGTGGAACAACTGCACTGACACTAAAGATAAATATGGGTTTCTTATATCGGAATGAAGCGTGTTTCTTTTCTTGAGGACTGGAAAATGATCGTACACTCAACCGTCATGTCTATAACGGTCCCTTGCAAAAAGCTGCCTCAGTATATTACTTGGGAAAACATTGAATCTAACGATGTCTGATTGTATCTGATGCTGCTTGTGCTCTTGCTGTATCGGTCTATGTTGTTTATATATGTGTTTTTATTTGCCTGGTTATGTATTTGTCTTTTATTTGTTATGTGGCTATGTTTGTATTATTCCTGTTATCTGCTATACTCATGTCTCCCTTTCTCTCTCTCTCACTCTCTCTGTCCCTCTCTTTCTCTCTTCTATCTCTCCTCTCTCTCACACACACACAACACACACACACTTAATCCAAAGACATCACAGGAATTAAAATTTAGAATGGTGCTAAAGAGGGTCTTATATGCTAAGATTGTTATTTTATCTATATAAATACAATTGAGTCAAAACATGAACTAAGAACCAAGCACAGTTTGGACACTAGAGGAACCAATAATCAACCTGTACTTCCGCTTTAGACCTGGCAGGGAACTTTCCAACTGTTCCAGAGCTTTAAGCAGGAAAACATGCCCCTTCATGTAATACCTACCCTGCACAGGTCATAGCTTGTACCTGCCCACCAAGGTTCCTCGACACATTCCTCAGTCTTTGCACAACATGTCAGTCAGGGATGAAACAAGTTATTGAATAATCAAATTTGGCACTGTTGATTTTGCCAGTTTGACATTACAGTTCTGTCTGCTTTCTACCCCAGTACATTGCTTATCATGCAGCTGTAGACAAACAAAACTTTTCATGACATTTTAGTATATGTAGCAACAATATGAGCAGGTTTTCGACTGACAGTTTTGCATCTACGTACTCAAAATCACATAATCTCCACCAACTATGCGCTTTCTTTCTTGTCTTTCCGCAGAAAATATGTGAACAAACATCCCGACAGAGGTGTGTGACAAGCAGCAAAACACAAACACCTCAACGTTCAGTATTAAAGAGTCATCCTAACCCTCGCTGGACTACCGAGAGCACTTTCAATCTCCTGAACCGAGCTCCTGATCTCCCATCATGCCACTGATCGTGTTCCAGTCTCCCAGCTGCATATGGAGCGTTTAGCTGCCCTGCTGTTCACCGTGGTGGCATTCTGTCGCAGCGCATGGATCCTATCTGCCCCCAACGGAAGGCATGCTGACTGGTGCATCTTCTGCTGGGCGTTCAGGGCTTCGGCCTGCACCCTGCTGGTCGCTGCTGGTGGGCAGTTCGGCCCTCCCAGGCCGAGCCCCGGTGTCCTGGTCCAATTTCCACACTATCGCCTGTACGCCGCCCTCACCCTCTGCCTCTCTGGCCTCGATCATCTTCGCAGTGTTTTTCCCTGAAGAACCAGAACTTCCACGGCGAGAGTCGAAGCTATCGCGATCGTCTCAACCGTCTTCTCATGGCGCTGGCAGCCGATAGCCTAACCATGGGTAGATGAGCGCTGACTAAAGCGAGGCCAAGGGGAGGTGCAGGTTAGCATGGCTACAGCTCCAGGCCTGCTGAAGGGTGTGCCAGACCTTTGTGGCCTGCATTATCTTCATCGCTGGTCAGTGAGCCTGTGTCGTATGACCCATCGCAGCCGCTCAAAGTGGTGCATGGCCGTGTATTGGCATTGCTTCATCCCTGTCCATGGCGTGGTGGTGGCTGTGTGTGGCGAGTGCACCGGGCTGTCTCGCCCTCCCTTTCTCACAAGTTCCCTGTCAGCTTACGGGCCTCCTGGCGGTTATCATGTACTTGACCGCTACGCAATCCTCTGGCCCGATGTTCGCAGTTTGACAAACCAGTACGGAGGTAGAGAGACGATTCAAAACTGATCCACTGCCGGCGGTGTTCACTGCCCATCAACTTCCTGCTTTACCCACTGCCTGGCCTACTGCCAGTTTAGTGTTTGTTCACTGTCTGAGAAGAGAAGAAGACGCAAGGAGGGAGACACATTGAGTGCGAAGAACAGAAATAAAATGGATGAAGTGCCTTTGCAGAAAGTGTAGCTGATGTTGAATTTTGGACCAATAAAATCACCGACTCTCCCCTCCCTTGGTGTCTAATTGTAATGTCCTATAAATAGGCCGGTATATCTGGCAGTGACAATATTTGACCTCTAATCTGATTGACCTGTGGCCTAAATGTGCAACACAATAACACATGAAATGATCTAAATGTTGGGGCTTTTACACATGGATGTGGCAAGCAACAAAGTCCAGATTGTATCTCATCAAAGGTATAAAATGAAGTCAACAAGCACCTGGAACACTGATTAACAGCAGAGAAGATTGTTAAGTGGCGAAGAATTATTGTATGTATTGAAGTATTGTATCTGAGACACACGAGGCACTCTGGTTGCTGATAAGGAAGCTTCTCCTTGTTATACTATTGGAACTCTCAAAACGCCTAACAAAAGATTTTCGCGTTACCGTTATTTTATTGTTGTAAGGTTTTGGAGAAAAATACCCTGTCCCTTTGTCTTGATAAAGTATCAGTATTGAAACATTTAAAGAGGTCATTTGAGCCAAATTAAGGAAATGAATGGGGTGGGCCAGAAAAAGGTTCTGTTGCTATACTGACACTGGTAGGAGGGCGCTGTGGCATGGGGCGATGCAGAAAAGATGTCAAGTTCTTAATGAAAAGTGGGCATTTTTAACGGCAAAAATACAAAATTCGTTAAGTTTTTTGTAGAGAGGGGGGCAATAGGGGCAGATAGGCCTATAACAATAAAAGTGGATAAAATGGAAAATCAAATAATTAATTGTTGCCTGTATCCTGTTGCCCCCTTCAAGTTGAACGAAAGATGTCTGGGTGGAGCCAGCAGACCAATGTAGCTAAATGTGTGCCTACTCTGGCCTCTTTTGTGGCAGCAAAGTCAGGAAACTCTGACTCTACTTGTACTCTCTAAAATTACTCACCTACTAATAGCCGTGACACACAAAATAAATAATAAATAAAGCTCTCATTCTGTTGAAAAAGAGACATAGATTCAATCTCATATAGTTACTGTAATAAGAATTGAAAAAAGAGATGGAGGGAGCTGTAAGAAGAAGTTATGTCCAATTTACAGGAACATGAATTAAAAAAATATACCGCAGAAAAGAACTTGCACACACCAGTACGTCATCGATTCACTGCACAGGCTTGACTCATTTTTGAAAAGATGGATCGGCAACATTAACTGTTTTCAGTTATGCTTTTGTCTTGGTTTAGTTTGATTT